CAAAATCCCAAAACTACAGATATTGGCATGGATGTGGAGAAAAGGGAACACTATGCACTGCTACTGGTAATGTAAGCTAGTACATTCCTTTTGGAAGGAAGTTTGGAGAACACTCAGGGATCTAAATGTAGACCTGCCGTTTGAGCCTGCAATTCCTCTTCTAGGTGTATATCCAAAGGACCAAAAATAATTTGGCAATAAATATATTTGCACCAGATTGTTCATTGCAGCTCAATTCATTATTGCCAAGTCATGGAAGAAGCCAAAGTGCCCATCGACTCATGAATGGTTTAATAAATTATGGTATATGTATACCATGGAATACTATGCACCCTTAAAAAATGAAGACTTTACCTCTTTTATGTTTACATGGATCGAGCTGGAAAATATTCTTCTTAGTAAAGTATCTCAGGAATGGAAAAATATATATCCAATGTACTCAGTGCTACTGTGAAACCAATTTATAATCATTCACACTTGCATATGAAAAATGAAACACACCTATAGCCTAGGATGAAGAAGGAAAGGGGAGGTAGAGGGGAAGGTAGTGGGGTGAGTGGTTACTGGGAGGGTTGGGAGGAGGACCACACCTATGGAGCATACTGCAAGTACAAGTTGGATCTATCAGTGGTAGAGCATAAATGTCTTAATCCTGTAATTGAGTAAAAGGGGAGAAGGTTATGTGATTTAATAGGTAGTAAGCATTCCAATTTGTACAAATAATCAACACATTGAATTCTATAATGGCATAAATGTATTTATGATCTATGTACAAAAGACTTAATAATACAAAAAGAAGCTTTTTAGCTTGATCAAATTCCAGTAATTTATTTTTTGTGTTGCTTCAGTTGCTGGGGGGAGACCTCCTCATTAAATCTTTTATCCAGTGAGAATCAATTTTTATTAGTGGTGAGAAGTGTGGGTCCAGTTTCAGTCTTACACAGTTGCTAGCCAGTTCTCCCAGCACCACTTGTTAAATAGAAATTCTTTTCCACAGTGAATGTTTTTGTTAGACTTATAAAAGATCAAATGATGGTACGTGGTTGGATTAATCTCTAGATTGTCTATTCTATTCCATATATCTAAATCTTTATTTTTGTGCCAGTACCATGCTGTTTTGATTACTATAGATTTGTAATGTAACCTGAAGTCTGGTAGTGTGATGCCTCCAGATTGGCTTTTATTTCTAAATATTGTATTGGCAATTCAGAGTTTTTTAAAGTATGACATTGGTGCTGTTATGGGGATTGTATTAAATCTTTATATTGCTTTGGGTAGTATGGACATTTTAACAATGTTGATTCTTCCCAGCCATGCGAATGATGCTTTTCCATTTCTTAACATTTTCTGCTATTTCTTTTCTCAGGGTTTCATAGTTCTCTTATAGAGATCTTTCACATCCTTTGTTATATATATTTCCAGGTATTTCATCTTCTTTGGCACTACTATAATAGGAATAGACTCCTTAACTATCTTTTTGGCTTGACTATCGCTGATATATATGAAAGTTACTGATTTGTAGGTCTTGATTTTGTATTCCAAAACACTACTATATTTCTTGATCACTTTTAAGAGTTCTGTTGTTGAATCCCTGGGGTTTTCCAGGTATAAGATCATGTATTCTGGGAAGTGAGAGTTTGACCTCCTGTGTCCCCATTTAAATACCCTTAATCCCCTTCTCTTGCCTGATTGTGATGGCTAGAAATTCCAGTACTATATTGAATAGTAGTGGTGACAATGATCATCCTTGTCTAGTTCAAAATGTGATTGGAAATGTTTCAATTTTACTACATTCACTATGACACTGGCTGTAAGTTTGCTGTAGATGGTCTGTATCAGTTTAAGAAATGTCCTATCTAAGCCTATTTTTTAAAGTGTTCTAATTATGAAAGGGTGCTGGATATTATCAAAAGCCTTTTGTGCATCAATTGGTAGAATCATATGTTCTTTGTGGTGGACACCTGTAGTCCCATACACCTGGGAGGCTGAGGCAAGAGAATTACTTGATCCCAAGTGTTGGAGGTTGTTGTGAACTATGACACCATGGCACTTTACTAAGGGTGACAAAGTGAGACTCTATCTAAAAAAAAAATGTGGTGTATTATATTTATAGATTTATCTATGTGGAACCAACCTTGTAATCTTGGATAAAACCAACTTTATCATGGTGTATAAATTTTTTGACGTATCATTGAATTCTGTTTGCTAAGCTCTTATTGAATATTTTTGCATAGATATTAATTAATGATATTTTTCTATAGTTTTCTTTCTTTGTTTTGTCCTTTCCTGGTTTCGGGATCAAGGTGATATTTGCTTCATAGAATGTGTTGGGGAGGATTCCTTTCTTTTCCCTGTTGTGGAAAAGCTTATGTAATATAGGTACTAGTTCCTCTTGGTAGATTTCATAGAATTCTGATGTGAAACCATCTGGTCACTGACTTTTCTTTCTTTCTTTTCTTTTTTAGATAGAATATCACTTTGGTACCCTTGGTAGAGGCCCATGGCATCATAGCTCACAGCAACCTCAAACACTTGGGCTCAAGTGATTCTCTTGCCTCAGCCTCCCAGGGAGATGGGACTACAGGCGCCCATCACAATGCCCAGCTATTTTTAGAGATGAGGTCTTCCTGAGACTTGCTCAGGCAGGTCTCAAACTTGTGAGCTCAGGCAATCCACCCACCTTGGCCTCCCAAGTGCTGGGATTACAGGAGTGAGCACCGGGCCCTCCGACTATTCTTTTTTGGGTGATTTTTTATAGTTGATGCTATTTCAGGTCTATTCAAAATTTCTAATTCTTTTGAGTTGGCACATATCCTTCTTAGTAAAGTATTTTAAGAATGGAAAATAAAAGTATCCAATGTACTAAATGAGACCAATGTATATGTACTATATGAGACCAACATATAAACACACATTCATACAAATGATAAAACACAAATATATCCAGCAAGAGAGAGAGGAAAGGAGTGAGGGGGAGGGGAAGGGAGAGGGCGATTAATGGGAGGAGGGAGGGCATTTGGTGTGATCTCACCTAATGTGCACAATGCAGGGGTACACTTCAAAATAAGAGTAAATTATAAATATGTTACCAAGAAAAATAAGTGAGGTGATAGTTATATTAATCAGTTTGATTTAAGCATTCCACATTGTAACTCAAATCATCATATTGAACCCCATAAATACATACTGTTGTGATTAAATAAAAATTAAATTTAAAAAAAACCTTGAGGAATAAAAAACTTTTTTCTTTAAGCATATAATTTTAAATTGTGAACATTTTAATAGAACTAAAATGGCACTTTCAAGTGCCAGACAAGATTACCATAAGTTATAATATATTATTATGTCTACAGCCCTTTATACCATCCCTAGAACATTCATACACATTTTATTATAGTAAGTATTATTGTCTCCATTTTACTGAAAGGTAAACTGAAGTCAAGATATGTGAAGTCACATAAAAAAGTAATGGTAAAATCTGAACTTAGTGTAGATGTCACCATGTCTTGTATGTTTTCTCTTAAATTAGTCTTACAAGAATCATAATTTAAATCACTATAATTTTTTCTAATTCTTTTAATATAGAATGAATTTTAAATGAACAATATGTATGAACAGATATTGAAATACTGTATACTGTAAAAGACCTAGAAAACTAAAGCTTCACGTCACATTTTTAAAATTCCATTAGGCTCTGGCCAGGTGCTGTGGTGGGCGCCTGTAGTCCCAGCTACTTGGGAGGCTGAGGCAGGAGACTCGCTTGAGCCCAGGAGTTGGAGGTTGCT